AAACAACAACAACAAGAACTCCCATCACCAACAGAGTGGTGACAAAGATTTTCTTCTTTGTAGTGCTGAAGTGACAAAAAAGAAAAAGAAAATATCCTCGTCAAACAGAATATTTATGATATTTTCAAGACTAATGTTACATGACCTAAAGTTATGAAATAAATGAACCGACACATTAATCAGAGCCATTATAAGACAAATGTGGCCCATAATTACTTTTGTAACTAAAACAGCACATATTACAGTGTCACTTACAATGCAAATTGTGAAAAAACTGTCCTGAAAAAATAAATATCAACATTTGGAAACCTTTTAAAATTAATTATTCATATGTCTTTTAATGATTTCTTACTTGAACATAGTTTTTTTTCATCATTTAAATGCAGATAGAATGTGTCTTTACAAAATAGTAAAGTGGCTCAGGAGAACAAACATAAAGTATTATTTTTATCTCATACAGTATAATAGATTGTCAATAACATGTTTATTATATACATATTTCCACATGTCATCAGTGATACAAAATGAAACCAGAGATTCAGAATTTAAGGGTTCAAGGTCTCTTAAATTTTGCCCTCTGTCAGTCTGACAGTCTGTAATGTGTAGGTTTTCCACATCAAATTTGTAGCCTCCATATATATCAGATCGTCAAATATTCTGTATTTACTGACTACATTACAGTCATTTCAAACAGATAGGAACTTCATATAAACACGTAGCAGACAATGAAAGTAAATGTCATTAATTACCTGAGCATATTGGTAGATCAGTGCAGTAGTGAGAGTCCCTCCGTTCATCCACAGTTATTTTGTGCTCAGTGACAGTAGTTCAGGTAGTTATAGTTGATGTACATCTTTCAATGGGGTGAAAGTCTGCCCTGGGTTTAGAATTTCAGGCCAGAGCTTCCTCCAAAAACACTACATTGTTCAGATGGATGTAGCAGTAATTCATAGTTCAAGGCAGGTCTGGAATACTTTGCTGACTTTATAACAGGTAAAACCTGGTGGTGGACAAATAACAGCCGGATGTCAAAGCTCCCTGAAAAGTCTAATCTGAGGGTAAACAAAACACACAAACAGATTCCAGTTGTGGTGGCCCTTACTCAACTATTTTGCAGATTGACAACCACTAAAATCTGAACATGGAGGGGTTGTGGTTGTTGTTTTTAGCCAACATCAGCCTTAATCATCACAAACAAAATATTGATTTATTTTCATGATTTGAACCCTTTAAATGCCAGTTTGTTCACATGATGCCATTGTTGATTTTCATAAAACACACACAGACAAAGACACACACACGCAGATGAAATATTTTCAATATATTTGGAACTACATGTATTTTATGACCAGACTGGGATATGCCAGTGATTAACACCAACATGTATGTGCAGTTTCAGATTTTAAAAAACAAAAATAAAAATCACACTAAGGACCTTAAAGACAAAAATGCCCTGTGAAAAAACAAGTTAAAATGATTTATATCATAATTATTTTCAACTTTAATCAACATGTTTTTGGACTGTTTGGGAAGAAGCCAGAGAACCCGGAGAGAACTCACGCTGCACAGGGAGAACATGCAAACTCCATGCAGAAAGATCCCGGGTGTACTCACCGGGAAGTGAACCGGCCACCTTCTAGCTGCAACGCAACAGTCCTAACCACCGAGCCACCTTGCAGCCAACCTGCACAGAGGAAGCACTCCTCTCCCTCTTCCATTAAGGGCTGATTTTCATCACTGGAGACCTGTTCAGCATGTATTCCTCTGTCAGACTGATTTATACTGATATCACTGATTTAATACAATATGTGATTGTAATTCTCGTCAGACCTCATTGTGTCCTGATGATGGAGCAGTGATACTCATAAGCCCTGATAAGTGTTATCACGGTCATCAAGTTTTCTCTCTTTCCTGGCTTTGACAACTGCAACTGTTGTGCTTTTAGCCTCAATTAAACATTTAAAAAGGTTGTTTTTTCTAAGATAATAGTTTGCTCTTGTTGGTGAAGTATGCCACTCTGGTGCCAAGAGATGTGTTTGCAGCTGGTCACCTGATGCCAACACCGCCCCTCTTATGTGAACATTCATACCTTGTTTGAGAAAACCTGTGTTGACTTACCAACTTGATAACCAGCTTCATCAGACCACTTTTACAGACTGTGGTTGTTAGGTTTAGTGAAGCCAGGTAATGAAAACATACCCTGGGAATGTTGAACTTGCTTCACAGTACAAGCTCGAGGTGACATGAAAACACAGTAACCAACATAATCCATGTTTACTGGTTTGAGGTTCGTCTTAAAGTTTCCAGCATCTCTGAATGTCCCTCAGCTTTGCAGTTTCCACAAAGCTCTGACCTGTGAGCGTATGATCAATGTTAATAAAAACATTAGCCACACAACTCACTAACGCTAAGGATTTTTCTATTGTTGTAGTAACAATACTATGAAAAAGTAGGTAATTCACTGGATCTTCAGTTCCTCAGCTTCTGGAAGTGCATGAAGACTCTTGTGTTCACTCTCACAGCCAACAGCAGAATGTGTGTTTTGCTCAAAGCTGAGATATTTTAGTGTTAGCAGAAGCAGCTCTAGAAAGTAACTCAACCTGGTGGACTAGCAGTAGCTGCTCATTCTGAATCACCTGCAGGCAGTGAGGAGACACAACTATACCAAGTTTATACTAGATGACTGTTGGATCCTCAGTTGATAAGAAGCAGCTCAGGAGAAATTTTATTTGCTTGTAAAGTTGGGAGGCTCTTTAGTTGAGGAGGGCTGAAGTAACGACCCTAAGATCCTTTAATTTACACCTTCAAATTTGTAAAAAAAACAAACAAACAAAAAAAAAACCCCGCAATTCTCACCATATTTGATCGTTTAATGTAAGTTTTCACATGTATTTCACACACACAAACATACTCATGCACACATGCAAGCACACAGGAGGATGTTTGCTTGAAGTTGATGACATTGGTGTAGCTCACCACTAAAGGATCCGTTATCTTCAGGAAGTACTTCCTCATTGAACACATGACATGACATCTACAACCTTTACCTTCTCTGGATTTCTGAGCCACCCAGGCTTTAGGTTTGACAAAGCAAACTACTACTCTTAACTGACTGCCGACTTTACACAAGAACAATGTACCTAGGATGAGCCTCCCAAATCCCTCTCTTACCTAAGAAACCTAAGAAACACTGCTATTGTGTGTCCTCTGACACACAATAGCACATTGTTTGTTACATATTTTGCTAAAAGTTGTAACAAACACTGAGCTAAAGCTAAACTAAAAACTAACATTTAATTTTTAATTATTTTTTAAACCTAAAACTTGTGTAGGTACAAAACTTACTAATACAAACCAAAATATACAGTAAATGTCTTTCATGTGTTTGAGTATGAGGAGTCTTTGGGGTACATGTTTATTGAGAGTGAGATGTCTACATGACTGTGAGTCAGCTGCCCTCACAAGGAGTTGTGTTCATATTGTCACACCTATTTTGAACATCTTAAGTCCATCTTAAGTACCCTGACACTTGCTTACAAAACCACAACGAGAACAGCTCCATCCTACCTGAACTCTCTCATTCAGATCTACACTCCCTCCAGCTCACTACGCTCGACCAACAAAAACCGTCTGATGCAACCACCATAACAGGGCACGAGATCGATAGCGAGACTCTTGTCCTCTGTGGTTCCTCGGTGGTGGAACGAGTTACCAAGCTCTGTTCAATCTGTCGACTCCCTCTCAGTCTTTGAGAAAAGACTAAAGACCCAGCTCTTCACTGAACACCTCTGCACTTGACAGCCAGAAAACAAACAAACCAAAAAATTTAAAATTTAAATAAAACCTATTACGGACTGCAGGGTGGTGCAGTTGGTAGCACTGTTGCCTCGCAGCAAGAAGGTTGGCGGTTCGCGTCCTGGTGGGGGCACCGGAATCTTTCTGCGTGGAGTTTGTATGTTCTCCCCATGCAGCGTGAGTTCTCTTCGGGTTCTCTGGCTTCCTCCCACAAGGTCCAAAAACATGTTGAGGTTAATTGGTGATTCTAAATTGTCCGTAGGTGTGAATGTGAGTGTGCTTGGTTGTCTGTCTCTAAGTGTAGCCCTGTGATAGACTGGCGACCTGTCCAGGGTGTCCCCTGCCTTCACCCTAAGTCAGCTGGGACACACTCCAGCCCCCCCGCGACCCTAGTGAGGATTAAGTGGTGTATAGATAAAACCTATTACCTCCCACACAGCCTGCTATTGGCATCAACGCCCTATCACACTTGAATTTGTTCTATGGCACTTATCTAGATTGATCCTTGCTTGTGTTGTATTTGCTGTCAGATGTGTGTTGCTTTGGATAAAAGTGTCTGCCAAATGAAATTGTAGAATTCTAGAATTAAGTCTCGTCTCTGACAAACGCACTACTGTTATAATAACAACCAAACTAAAACTACACATTTTAAATGTGAAATAAATAAAACCATTGAAGAAATTCAGCTTAGCTTAACTAAATGAAAAACAAATTCATCCATCCATCCATTATCTATACACCGCTTAATCCTCACTAGGGCCGCGGGGGGGCTGGAGCCTATCCCAGCCGACTTAGGGCGAAGGCAGGGGACACCCTGGACAGGTCACCAGTCCATCACAGGGCCACACTTAGAGACAGACAACCAAGCACACTCACATTCACACCTACGGACAATTTAGAATCACCAATTAACCTCAAAGTGTTTTTGGACTGTGTGGGAGGAAGCCGGAGAACCCGGAGAGAACCCACGCTGCACGGGGAGAACAAATTCCACGCAGAAAGATTCCGGTGCCCCCACCCGGACGCGAACCGGCAACCTTCTTGCTGCGAGGCAACAGTGCTACCAACTGCGCCACCTTGCAGCCCGAAAAACAAATTAAAACAAAAAATATATACAAATCACACACACTCCAATTTTTTTGCCTTTACTAGATAGGACAGTCAAGAGAGAGACAGGACAGTGGGGCAGGAGAATTGGGGGAAGGAGTTGCAGCAACGGGCCATGAGCAGGATTCAAACCCAAGACTGCTGCATCGGGCACTATAGCCCCTGTACATGGGTTGCCAGCTCAACCAGGTGAGCTGTAGCGCCAGCCGATCCTTATGTATTTATTTATTTATTGTTTTAAGTTTTTTTTGCCTTTCGTGCCCTTATTTGATAGAACAGTCGAGGAGGGGGACAGGAAAGTGGGGGAAGAACCTGCAGCAAAGAGTCAAAATTCAAAACTCGCTCCCACACTGCGTTGGGGACTTTTAGCCCCATGGGACGGCAGCTCAACCAAGTGAGCTATCACGGTGCCCCAATCTTTATGTATTTTTGATGATAGACGAAATCTTCCTCAACATGGGGGATATTGAGAAGTCTCTCATATCTTGGCTCCTTTCCTGAGGGATTGTGTTTCTTTACCTTTCTCTTTAACCCAACGGCTTCAGTTTAAAACTTTACACGAAGGTCCTTAAAGACAAAAAAGTTTGTAACAAAATAAATGTGATAAAAATGATATATACAACACTGAAATGTTCCACTTTTTTAGCCAACAACAGCCTTAATCATCACAAACAAAATATTGATTTATTTTCATGATTTGAACCCTTTAAATGCCAGTTTGTTCACATGATGTCATCGTTGGTTTTCATAAAAGCCACACACACACACACACACACACACACACACACTTCCAAAATGAAGCGATCAAGGGTAGCCATAAAAATCCACAAAGTCATTCTGTTCACACATGTGTGCACTATTCAGTTAGCTTCCTCTTTCGGAGGTTTGGTCTGTCCTTCCTGTCCTTTTCCACTACTTATAGGACATTCTAAAGTGTTCTTCTGATTTAGCAACACCAGCAAAGTCAGCACTTAGCTTCACCCCTCTTTCTGCACAGTCATTAATGATGTTATTGGCATTGATCTTTTTTTTTGAAGAAAGATAAGACGACAACTTCATCCACTCACTAACTTCTCTGGTCAGGAAATCACTGTCCAGAAGCAGCAGACTAAAGATGAACCAGGAGTCATGTGCAACAAAATCTGCTCGTGTTGTGGACTGCGTGATGTCAGTTGGAAAATGTGGCTTCCTGAAACCTGTACCAAAGCAATCTCTAGGTGTGTCCTGGACGTCACCATGTGCTGTACCCACCCTCATATGGTGCATAAACAGTCACACCTGTGCCCCTCAGGTTAAAGGCAGTCAAATTGACTGACAGCACAAACACATTGTCATGTTGTACGTGCCATTTATAGAGTAGCAGTGGGATTGTCATCTTTTCCAACTCAGTCATTCCAAAGAAGAAAGAACTTTACAGAAGTGTGTAGGCGACTGAACCAACGTGTCATTTAACAGTAATTACCTGAGCATACTGGTTGATCAGTGCTGCTGGTAAGTCTCCCTCAGTTCCTCCACAATGTGAAAAGAATGAATGTGACGTTACAGGTGCTACGTAGGATTGTGCAGGGTCATATTTTTCCTGGGTCTAGTCCAAGGCAGCACAATTTTAAAAAATGCTACATAATTCAAATAGCTTGATCTGTGATGACTTATGTAGTTTATATATGGCAACATTTGGACTGGTTTGTTGACTTTATCACAGTTGTGTGTAAAAGCCGCCTAAGAAGGCAGCATCAGAGGGTAAAGCCCTGAGAACACAAAGAAAGACCTGAGTTGTGGTGAAGGTCAGCTTTTGGAGAATAAACTTGGCAAAGAAAATGTGAATTTTATTTCATGTATCAAAGGACACATCATTGAGAGTGGCATTCCCAGTTTATTTTTTTTATTATGAATAATCATAGTAATAACAATAAAAATAATATAATAGGTCTCTGTATTTGAAAACCCTTTTACAATGAAACTTCCCAAAGTGTATCATAATTTCAAATACATGAGCATTATTATTACAATCAGCACACAGTTATACTCACATAATAAATCAGCAACTGATGCACTGATGCACTTTATAAGCTGTACTGAGAGATATTATGTGTTATTGCAAAAAAAATAAATAATTCTCAACATAATGAAATTGAATACAACACCACTACAAAATGTAGCCTCAATGAGAGAAATATAATATTGACAATCTAACTAACAGCAGAATTTTTTATTTATTTATTTTTTTTCTGGAATGCATTAGATTGTGGAGCTGCTAAACTTTGCATTTCAGATTTGGGTCATGTAAGCTGTTCCACATAAGATACATATCAAGTGGAAGGAATTTATGAACAATCAGAATTTCTCTAAAATAACACGGATCTAATGGATCAGCTTTATCAAGACTGCTATGTCCAAAGACCTTCACTCCCATGTGGGATTCAGGACCAAGTCCTGCTTTCTCCAGGCACATCCCCATGTAAGCATCATCAATGGTAATAAGGTTGATGGACTTGGACATGTTGTATATGACATGAGCTGTGTAGCCAGACAACAGGAAGCCTCCACCACTGCAGTAAGGAGGGTAGGATTCAGGTTCATAAATCAGAGCTGGAACAAAATACTTAGTGTTTGATTCTCGAACAGGTGGTGAACCCACCATCAGATTTCCAGCAAAGAGATGTTTGCTTCCATCATTGTCCTTCAGGGTTTTCAGATACGTGACCATGTTGTCTGTGTGAGCAAGAACATCATCATCACCGTTCATCAGGAAGCGAACATGTGGACAGTTTCTGTCCATCCATTCTAGGAAGAGGACTTGTTTCAAGGTGAGATTGAAAAATGTATCAGTAAAGTCCCATTGGAGGATGTCATTGTACTGCCGTTGTTCATGTTCGAGGAGTTTGTTCAGTCTCTTCTTCTCGACACCTTCACCCCTGGTTCCTGTGATGAAGATCCTTCGCATCAACACACCATTCTGCAATCTCTCTTCAGCCCAGGTTGTACGCAGCACCTCTCGACGGTCGAAGTTCACAGGAGGACTTTTAATGACCAGTAGAAGAAAGACTTCTGCAGATCCTTTAGCTCCTCCACATTTGTCAGGAAGATCCAGTATCATGGGAAAATGTCGACAATGGCGATAGTAGATAAAGTTTTGCATCGTAGTAGGAAGTGAGCTGAAGTTAGGGACTCTGGCAGCAGATATGTTTTGTTGACATTTTGGCCAGGAGTATTTATAAGTAGAATTTCTGGATGGTTGGATGACAGATGTGATGTGTGATCTCAGATGTGCTTGATGGAGGAAGTGTTTGTAGCTGATCAAGTCTTTAGATAACCGGAGATTAAGCATCAACCCAAGAACTCCCATCACCGAGAGAGTGGCGACGAGGATATTCTTATTTGAAATGCTGCAGTGACAAAAAAAAAAATTAAGAAGTCTTCATCAGACATGAAATACATGATATTTCAAAGCCAAAAAATCCACAACTTAAAGTTTAAATTAAACGAACCTACAGTAAATGCAGAGTTGTTATAAGACATATGAGGCCTGACTTTGGTATAACTAAGATTAACACATGTGACACTTACAGGCCAAAGCCTTGAATTAACTTAACACAAAGACTGCTTTTTAAATGCATGCTTTCATTTGCATTAGTGTAAGCCTATAAAGGAAACACTGCAAAGACATTTTAGGGAGGGGGAATGAAAATGGTGTGAAATTATACAGGCTGCTGTCTGGTTGTTAGAATTACTGTTGCATGGAGGAATGAACAGCATTCATCTTTTCTTCATTAAAATGCAGATTGAGTTTGTCTGTCTTGAATAGTAAAGTGGCTAAAGAGAACAAATATAAGGCATTCTGTTTCAATCATGTATTATACATGTGCGCTATAGGCAACATGTTTATAGATGTCAACATGTCATCAGTGGCACAAAATTAAGCCAAGCAAGAAATTGTCTGCTAATACCTGCACCATGGACATTTATACTGGAAATTATTTCTTAAAATAGTCTCAGAAATATAGCTGCCTCGAGTCAAAGTCCTAAGCAATGTATAATAAGTGATTTTAAATGTGGTTTCTGTCAATTTACCTCAACATCTTTCTAGGCAACAAACCCACATTTCTTGTTTTGTAGCATTCAGTCAAGCTGATGTACATTCCTTTCATGTGTGTCTGTAATTAAGTTTTCTCTTCAGCTGTAGGGTCCCATTGTGACAGCACAATCAGACACTGTTCTAGTCATGCAGAAAATGAATAAAAGTTGTTAAAATAATAATAATAAATGAATAAATGCATTCAGAAATGCATTCTCAGCGCGGAAAGTTGTTCACTTTTTGTTGTTGTTTTGTTTTGTTTTTGGTTGTTTTTTTTTGTTTTTCTCATCTGCCTTTGCACAAATACATCATCAACCAGGCGCAATATATGGCAGTGAGCCGCTTAGTTTTGTTAATTCTTTTTTGGTGTGTTTATTTTTTTCACAAATTAAGGTGTAACTGCCAAAAAAGAAAAGAAAAAAAAAAGTGTCACGACTGATACATTCAGTTTGTGTAAGTGTCTATTAGAATATTTATTGCATTCAGGCTATTAGTTCAGTTAGTGTCTGCTCTGAATAAGTACAACAATGCAGAATAAAGGTTTTCCACATAAAAGTAGTACCCTCCATACATATCAGACCATCAGCTATCCTGTACTGACTGAATATGTTTTAAGTCACTTCAAACAAAAATTAACTTTACAGAAACAAAAAAACTAAACGTCATTCAGCATTAATTACCTGCGCATATTGGTAGATCAGTGCGTTTGCGACAGTCCCTCTGTTCATCCACAGTCCTTGTGTGCTCAGGGACAGTCTTCCATGTAATTACAGGTGATGTACACGTTTCTATAGGTGAAATTCTGCCGTGGGTTTAGACTTTCAGGCAGCGTGAGACAGCGCTCCTCCACCGGCAAGTAAAACCAGTTGATGGAAAAATAACACTGGGACGTAGAAGATGCCTGACAAAGCAAACCTGAGAGTAAATGTAAGACAGAGACAGATTCCAGTTTTGCTGGTCTTTACTCAACTTTCGCAGGTCAGCAACCACTAAAACCCGATCTAGATCTGGAATCTGTGAGGATCTGAAGCTGAGGTGGAGAAGATGAATCCTAAATGGAGTCAAATGGGTCAATGGTGTGTTACAACAAATTAGAAGATTATGAAAAGGGATCTTAAAGTGAAATATTTAAAGCTTTTTGTTGTTTTAATTTCGCTGAATGTGGCTTATAGCTCATAAAAAATCTGAAATCTGGCATGTCAAATTCTTTTAATATTTTTCCTAATATCAATTTTTTTTTATTTTTTTAAAGGATTTATAATAAAATAATGGAACTGCTGAGGTGTTATGGAAGCCCAGGTTGATCTGATAGCAGCCTTCAGCTTGTCTGTGTTTTTGGGCTGAGTGTTTCTCATCTTCCTCTTGACGATTCACCACAGGGGGTTCAGGTCCGGTGAGTTTGCTGCCAATCAAGCCCAGTTACATCACAGTCAGTGGTTGTAGTTTTGGACTTCCTCAAGCAGCTTTTCTTGACAATTGTCTCAAGGCTGAAGCTATCCCTGATGCATCCCTGAGAAATAGAGGATTATGGAACAGATTACACAAAGTCAAGATTTAAACTGTTTTGAGATTTAAAATATGCGGTGAATTTAAGAAACCCCACCCCAAGCATCTTGAAAGGAATTTTGCCTGGAAGTCGTAAAACACGACTGCAGTCTGCTGTCAAAGACTGGTGGACTATTACGCAGAACAGTACAGTCGTTATTTCTGGCAATGCTAGCTTCTGAGGAGGGCTGCACAGTGACTCAGTGTTAGCACTGTCGCCTTACAGATAGAAGATCCCAGGTTCTTCTGGCCCATGGATGGATGGATGGATGGATGGATTCTGAGGTATTTGCTTTTTCCACTATAGTACATCAACTGATATTTCTAATTTTTTTAAAAATTATCCAACAAGCAAATTTTCTTGCTGTGTTTAAGTATATCATCGTTATTTGTACCAACTGTTTCAAAGAGGATCAAGTACTTGTTTGTTTGAATTTCAATGTGACATCCTTATTTTTTAATGCCACTGTTTAAGATTTTGGATTCACTGAAATGTTTTTAAAAAGTTCAATTTATTGTCATTCTTGGTCTTTTCATGAGATTTGCTGACAATTAGAAACATGCATGCAGACAGGGTGAAGCAACGTTTCAACAGGTGCTACTTGATCTTATTGTAACTCTTGATTGGTCGAATTAACTGATCTGAGAAAGAGGAACATCTGAGGAGCTCAAGCTTGTGTTGCAGATTCAGTCTGAGGCAGAACTCCATTAGAAAACAATGCAAAAAGTTCACCTACCTCATGTCAGTTCTAGAGAACATCATGGCCAAGGATTAACCCTGCTTCCTGCAGGTTTTCTTTTAAACATGTGTGGGTGAATCTTGTTTTTTGCCTATTGTTCTATTTCCAAAATTTTTGAAGAACATACAAATAGTTTGTCATAATGGTTGATGCAGAACAGCAGCTGTAAGCACTGCCTTCTTCTGCTCCGTGGTGCAGTGTGACCCCGTTCATTGTGGATGTTGCACTCTCAGTGTCACTCTGACTTGTGCTTCAAGGAGCTGAGCATCCTTTTGGAGGAGATTGTTAGCTGAGATAGAAACATGGTTGAAGGAGGATTACCTGTTCCCTGCCTGCTTCTAAAAAAGTTATTCAAATAAAAACATCTCAGAGCTCTCGTAATTACTTTTTCGCTGACTGACTGAAGATCATTAATATGTTCAGTCATAGTGCATGCAGTGATACCTAACTGCAGGAGAGACTTCTGTTCGAGAATATAAAAAGTAAGAAAGGTTACACAAATGCTATAGTTTGAGTAAGGTGCGTCTGAAAGATATACATACGACCACACAGAGAGGTTTATATGGTAACAAAGGTTACAGAAATGTTCCAATATTCACAACTTCAAGATTCTGGATTACACTTGTTGAACCTTCTTGCACAGAACAGGACTAGAGTTCTGGACCCAACATTTGGTCACGTGGTCTATCTGTATTAGCATGTCAGTTGTCTGAAAGGAAAAAATAAATGATTAAGTACACTTTCAAAACTGATTTAGCTTGCTTTAAATAAAACATTGTACTTTGACAGCCTGTTGGAGCAGAAAAAAAAGCAGTATTAATGATGCTGATTTCTAAAGATCCCTACATGTGGTTTGCTCACATCTCACATCCGTCTCAAAGAACAGTTTTGCCAGACAACCTTACATTTCCTGTTCTTGTGGGATTATATTGTATCCGTTACAAATTCAAAGAAGAGTTTGTATGAACAAGAATGTTCAAACAGCAAGTAGCCACATTTTGGCAAACAGTGTCCATCCATTGTATCAGCAATCCAGGTATTGTTGCCTACTTAACTTGTAAGAGTCCTAAACTGCTTTCTGTCAGCGGGCGGCACACATCTACTACTGCTATTGTTTAAACAGTGTCTGCTGTTCACAATGCATGATGAGGCTGATGACGGATGCTAGTGCTGCATGAAAACTCTTGCGTTTACTCAAAAGCTGAACGACAGCTTTGTGGCTGAGACGTTTGAGTGGAGCTGTAGGAAGTAAACAAGCCTAGTGAACAGAGAGGCAGCTGCTGAATCTGAATCGCTTATTGGGAGCATCGCACAAGGCAGGATTATCCAAAGTTTGATCTGGAAGACTATTGGTTTGTTTTCTTGTATGTAGCAGTTCAGTCAAATAATAATCAATTTTATTTATAAAGCACTCAAAGACGCTACGCAGTGAATAAAAACAACACGCTAAAAAAAAAAGCAGCAGAAAGCAAAAAGCATCGTGTGCATTAAAAAAAACAATCATGTGAAAAGCATGTTTGTAGAGGTGAGTTTTGGTGAGTGATTTGAAGGAGGACAGGTTTGGGCAGTTACAGATGTTTGGTGGTAAGGAGCTCCAGAGGGTGGGGGCGGCGTCAGAGAAAGTTCTGTCCCCCCAGGTTCGGAGCTTGGTGTCAGGTGGTATAGAGAGAGGGTGGGCGTCAGAAGATCAGAGGTTATGAGAGGGGGTGCAGTGGTGGAGCAGGCTGGTGAGGTAGGAAGGGGCTTGGTTATGGAGGGCTTTGTGGGTGAGGAGGGGGATTTTAAAATGGATACGCTCTTTGATAGGGAGCCAGTCTAGGATTTGGAGGACAGGGGTGGTGTGGAAAAGGTGTGGATGAGCAGGTGGGTGCCAGAGTTTTGGATTTCTTGTAGTTTGTTGAGCTGTTTGGTAGGAAGGCCGTAGAAGATGCTATTGCAGTAATCGAGTCTGGAAGTGATAAAAGCATGAATCAGGGTTTCAGCGGTGAGGAAGGTGAGAGATGGGTGCAGATGGACAATGTTTTTCAGGTGGAAGAATGCGGTTTTAGTGATGTGATGTTCCAGATTGAGATGGGAGTCGAAAATGATTTCAAGGTTGCGGACATGTGACGACAGGGTGAGGTAAGTGCTGTCAATGGTGAGGTTGAAATTGTTGGTAGTTGAGGTGAGGGTTTTGGGGCCGATGATTAAGAGGCTGGATTTCTCGCAGTTGAGTTGGCGGAAATTAATGTTCATCCAGGATTTGAATTCAGTCAGAGAAAGTCTGACTTGCTTGTTAAACAGGGAGAATTCAAGTTGTTTGGGGCTGCAGGAATGACAGATGGAAATGTATTTATACCTGAACAGCTTCTACATTACACCTTTATGTTTAGACAAGAGTTTTTTCAAGAAAATCCAAAGCATGAACTGGCTCACAGTACACGTGAAGCCTCCACCCTTTATGTGATGATACCGGTCTAACCAGATATCAAAGATCTTTCATAATCCAGTTATTGCTTGTATCATCTCTGCATATTTGAGTGATCCAGGTTTGACATTAGACAAGGAAACTGTTCACTGCATCATCTTACCTGTCACAGGGGGTCTGGGAAACCAGGTGCAGACATACATATGGGCAGACAGGTGAATGTAACAAAGGAGTTTATTAAATGACAGATTAACAGAAGCCAATATAGAGGGAGGAAGCTAAACAGGGGGAGGGGGTAAGAGAATGGGGACAACCAGAACGAATTTACAAAGGGGGCAAGATTCAAAAAAAAAACCTAGAAAACTCTAAACAAAGAACAGAGGGGAAAAACCTAATGAATTCTAAGACTACAAAACAAAGCTACTCAGACAAACAGGGATACTCACAATACCCTCAATAACCTGGCACTCAGCTCCTCAAAGACTAAGGAGTTGGTGCTGGACTTCAGGCGGAAGTCCAGCACCAACTCCTTAGTCTTTGAGGAGTTGGTGCCCTCTTCTCATCCAAGGGGACACTGTAGAGATATTCAGTGACTTCAAGTTCCTGGGAACATACATTTCTCAGGACCTTACAAGGGGCACCGACACCAATGCCCTCGTGAAAAAGGCACAACGGCATCTGTACTTTTTAAGGTCACTGAGAAAGGTCAACCTGTCCCAGGAACTGCTGCTGTCCTTCTACAGCTGTTTTGTAGAGAGCATCCTCATGCACAACATCTTAGTGTGGTACAGCACCTGCTCTCAGGCTGACAAGAAGACTCTGGAGAGAGTCAGGAAGTCAGCACAGAGCATCATAGGAGCACAGCTGTCCTCTCTGTCAGACACCAGATGTCTGCGCAGGGCCAGAAGCATCACCTTCGATAGTTCACACCCCGGGCATAGCCTGTTCTCACTGCTGCCCTCAGAAAAGAAGTACCGATCCATCCAGGTCCACACA